TCTTTTCCTTTTTAAGGTGTATCTCTTGTATTTAACTTAACCAAAAAAAAGCATTTTATGAGAACATCAGTTATCTAATTTATTTAAATCTCAAGGAATAATAAAGTATTCCTGTGGTTCTTACATCGTACATCTTGAAGAGAACAAAATTGCACAAGAAGTATTAAAAAAAAGCCACTCACTATTTCAATCTGACTACTGGAGTCAGAAGAAAAAAATAAAAACTTCTGAATCACTTTCTAGGCGTGGAGGTTTCATCCAAGGTGGCAACCAAAGTCAGATGATGCATGGAGGAGGAATGCAAGGAGAAGGATTTGCTGGCCAGGAGAGAGCAAGCAGACCCAACGATCCCCGTTTCAACCGTCGCTATTGAATGTTTTAATTTTTAATGCAAGGTGGCAACTGAAATGAATTTGTCACCCAGGGTTACTGTTAATTGTAACTTAAGGGTTACTGTAAGTGTATTTTTTTTAAAGCTGCTGCCGTATTATGTCACTCAATCCAATGTGAACTCATTTGTTTTTGTAATGTGTTGTTCATATCCCATTTTAAATGTCTGTTAATGAAGCATTCCATTTTCCATAAATAAAAAAAAAGGTTTACAATTAATTGTTTTGTTTCAGTAGTCTGTGGAAAACTAATTTATTTAGCTATATGTTAAACGATGTAATTTTCTTTCAAAGATTAAAGAGTAGAATGCCTTACAGGCCTCCCTTTGCAGTTTCAGTAGCAGACAGCTCCCAGAAATACACTGAAATAGAGTGTTGCTTTATAAGTTTTAAAATCAACTAGCATACACACCAGCACGACAAAATTAATACATATTGCAGTTTGAGCAATCTGCCACTGCAAAACTGATTTAAAGATCCTGTAGGTGAAGAAGGCCATCCAGCCTGTATGCTCAGCAAAGGAATCCAATTCATATTGTCTTACCTACTTTTATTTCTATAGGTCACAAACCAGACTTGGCAAAACATTTGACTTAAACTCACCAATTTTGTGAAAGGATGAGTTGTTTACTGAATATATTCATTGCCATTAAGATGTAGTAAGAGGATTATACGTGGACTAGGTCAGATCAGAAAGCTCTTCCCACTCAGTATTCTTTCCCTTCTAGTGGCAGATACTTACAGCAAAGTATGTCAGGATAGAGTACATACAGAGCAATCCTATTGTTACTGAATTGGGTGATAAGCTCCCAGTTTGTGGCACTCCAAGGTTTACTGACCTTTGGCTTCCACCTAGACAGTTAGGTTTAAGAGCCACTGACAGATCTAGCCTCTAGGAATTAGCTTAAGCACTTTTTAAAGCTATTTATACCTTAACCAACTCTGAAATCCCTGGGCAGAAAGTTTCATCATAAAACAATTTTTAAAAGGGAAAAAAAAAAATCCTACAAATCCCTTTTCCTTCTTGTGTTTTAAATCTGCTGCCTGATCTGAGTAAGCATTTGTCCTATTCTGTTAACACCCTGTGTTTTCTGCCTTGTTCTTTTGTCTTAGCTCAGTCTGCTACTAGCAGACAAAAACAACATGGCCATGTCGGCACACCAGTGTGAGAGAAATGCTGCCTCCACTGCCAAGATCAGGTGCAATCTGTGTCCCTCTCTTGGGAGCATAGCTGCAGAGGCTGTACCTCAGCATACAGCCAACACTTCAGTACAACTGATCTGTGATCTCTGCTGAAGTGTCTAATTAGTAAGGCACAACACAATCATTAAGGTGCATGCTAAAACCAACCCAAACAGAAATGGATGTTCCACAGTCTTTTATTGTAGCCCTTGCATGGCTGAGCTGCCATCTAGAGGGATGGACTACATATCATCCCAAGAAGAACACATCATAGAGAGAGCCATGAATCCTGGAGAATGTTTTCATTTGACAAGATCCTTCATATACTTCCAGCCTTCCATAGTGTATTCACAGGCCCTGGTGGGAGCTACAGATAAAGCAGACATGACTGTCTGCACTCCTGCAAAGAAAGCAGAGAATTATTTTCCCAGGAAGAGTATCATTCAAGCCATAATTCCCAATGTTACTCTAGCATCACAGATCTCTTTAAAGACAGAGATAAAGATCTAGCTTTTTCTGAGAAGCTCAAGCACCTGAGGCCTGAGTAATCCTTGGTTCAAATGCAGTTTTATTGTCTCAGTATCATGTGACAGAGAAATTCCAGCTTCAGGACCAGTATAAGGGATAGACAATTTCAAGGTTAAAACAAGGAACTGATACTCATCTAAGTTCAACTTCACTTCTGGTCTTGCCACAGGCTCCACATGTGATTTTGGGTATGTCACAGTGTTTGTGGCTGTTTCCTCACAGTTAATTAAGACTTTGCTGCACCATAGGAACTATAAATTATTTGGTATTTATAACATGCATTGGACTTGAAACGTGATCTCTAAAATCCTAGTAATTACAGGAATACTCATCCCCTCCCAAAAGTCAGAAATGGAGTTCAGACACTAGTATATGAAGAGTTCATAAAAGATTCACCTTTTTCAAGAGTAAGCCATGATTTATTTTTTATGCTCTAGTTTCCCTGATCACTATTACCACCACTGATGACCTCATGTTACTGGTCCATAAACTCTTTGTCTATTTATTGTTGGAGCCACAGACCCCCACCCCGATACTTTACTGAAACATTAAATCTTACATTCTGGGATACAAGAGAGTACCTTGGAGCACTGGCAGTACCCACCAGTAGGCAAGCAAGCTATGTAGGTAAAAGAAGTATTAGCTCCTCCAGTTAGAAAAGGCAAAGAGGTTTATGGGCACACATTTTCCTCTTGATTTCACAATTGGAAATTAAGATAATGAGATTAAATGAACTGCACAAAGTCACTCAGTGTGCTAGTTGTGGAACCTGAAGCAGAATACACATCCCTAGTCCAAGATCCAGTGCTCCCTCTACCAGACTACACAATCATCCCCTTCTTGATAATTCGCTTAAGGATGGCAGTACTGAGATAAGCTGCATCACTGTTGGTCCTCTGCCCCTTTCACAGTTTAACGAAAAATTTTACCTTTATTCCAGGAATCAGAGGGGGAAAAGTCAATTTTTGGAGTGGGCGGGAGCTAGAAAGAGAAAGACAAAATATCAGCACTTGGAGGTTTCACTTATAAGAAAAGCCACATCACCTTGGAAAAGCTTCATGTCCTCAAATCTTGAACATATTTCAGTGCTTGCTGTCTCTAAGTCTCAAAAAGCATCAGACATGTGCCCTAAAGCCTAGACTTTTTTCTTTCCTACAGTGTAAAGTAGAGGCAGAAGGCAGTACTTAACATTTGAGTACTCTGAAAAATCACCTCCGTAAATAAATAAATAATTACTTATTCCTTAAGTATTTCCCATATTGGAAACTATAATAAGCAAATACTTTTCCAACTTTCAGCAAAGGCTTGTCCTGAGGATTTTTACAACTAAGAATTAGTTAAAGACAAGGGTTTCTTCAGGCAATTTAAATTCAACTTGACTGTTAGCAGTCTGACAAATCAGAAGAAGAATCTTTTCTTTAATTTTTTAAAAGTATGTAGGATCCTTCAATAAAAAGCATACTGAAATATCTCCCAGATCAAGCATGTAGTCTCTCCTCTTTGACCCTGCATAAGCTAGTTACCTTGTCTGCTTTCAAATGACATCAACAAAGAATTTTCTCCCCTAATCCTCTTCAAAGACTTCTTAGTGTGAAATTCAGATTAAACAGCAAAACTTCTGCCAACATCACTGAACCTGAATATCATCCCAATGTTTTCTCCTCCTTATTCAGAGAATATCCAATTTGCTGACAGTGTTTATCTGCATGGTCCTTACCTCCCAGCCTACGTAACTTGTCCATTCTTTGATAGCTGGAGGCAGTACTGTTTGAGCTTTTTTGAGGGCTTCAGCACCTTCTGCACCACTGCCCAGCAACCCCTGATCATATGCCACATATACAGCAGCTCCAGCCAAGCTTCCTTTGATGATAAACCTGAAAGAATCAAAAGCAGCAACATTTCAGTTCATATTAGGAGTATTGTTGCATCTCTCTCAGCAGGTTGTGACTGTAAAACGGAGGGGATCAATAAAGAAATCAAAGGTCACAAATGCTTTCCTCTGAGGTCTTACTTCAGACAAAAAGCAGCAGACAAGTATCTGGCTATCATCCTTTTTTTTTTTTTTTCCCTAAACCAAGTAGTCCCTATCAACTGTGAGAAAGCATATTGTTTGCTTTTTTATCAGCAAGAATTTTTAAGAATAAAAAATGTGGAAGCATCAAAAATCTCTAAGTATGAGCCGCTTTTCTAAGTATGAGAACCACTGGCTTAGACCCTTGATAAAAGAGACAATAGGATTCAGCACATTAATTATGGGGTTCTTGCCATCTTGTTAATAAGTAATCTGATTAATTTGATAGGTACCAACATCTTACTTATCTCATTACAATCTGGGTAACATTTAGCCAAGCCTACACGGCCAAGGCTTTTCAAGCTTCCCAGCAGAGCACTTGCTGTCCTAACACTACAGTTTTACAGCTGTGGTGGCACCCCACAAAAGATGCGAATACTTGACCCTTATTTATTTTTTCATTATTGATGAAAGATCTGAGAAGAGCACCTTTTCCAGGTTCATAGACAAGAGCGCTATCTCCTCTAAATAAAATAAAAATATACAAAGCTACTGCACACCTGGGGAGGAGGGGAAGAACCTCGCCAGATCGCAGCAACGCAACAGAACTTATGATAGACACAGACACTGGGAGAGGCAGGAGTCAATACTTAAACCCACGTATCCGCAAGTACTTGGGGGAAGAAGGGCTTCCCCACCGAGGATTTCCCGTTCGCTCCCCAACGCGCCCTTCCAGGCCTCCCCCCGCGCCCCGGCCGGCCGCACAGACCACAAAGCGTCCCCTCAGCACACGGCGCCCCAGGGTCTCAGACCGGCCGCGGGGCTCCTGCCGAGCGCAGCGGCTGCCTGGGCCAGGCCGGGCCGGGCCGGCACTCACCGGGCGGCGGGCAGCAGGCGGGCGGCCATGGCTGCGCCAAGGGCAGGGCGCCGGGCCCGGGGCCGCCGGGAGCCGGGCACGTGGCCGGGCCGCCCCTCCCCCGGGGGGCGGGCGGGGAGGCGCGAGGGGGGTCACGTGGTGCCTGCGCCTGGGTCCCCGCGCCGTAAGTTGGGGGCGGGAAGCTGCGGGGCGGGGGCTGCAGGGGGCTGCCGGGGCGCCGGGGCCGGGGCCGGGGCCGGGGCCGGGGCGCCGGGGCCGGGGCCGGGGCCCGGGCCCACCAGAGCCCAATGCGAAAAGTTTTGTGAACGGACAGAACGAACTGAAGCTATGTTTAGTTAGATGGAGGGAAGAGCAGGGAGTTTGTCCCTCCGGTGCTGCCTTCCTGGCTAATTAACGAGCCAGCCTCGTCTGTGAGGCCGCGCGGAGCTGTCCCGGAGCGCGATTAGCCCCGGCCTGGAGGCTGAGCCTGAGCAGAGCAGGCGAGGGACCCACAGCATGCACAGGGCCCTGCGCATGTGAACGGCCGAGCCCAGTACATGCACCCAAACTGAAACAAGGAAAGAAAGACGGAGATGACAGAACCACAGCGTGTCAGGGACTGAAAGGAACCTTGAAAGATCACCCAGTCCAGTCCTCCTGCCGGAGCAGGAGCACCTGTATCAGGTCACACAGAAACTCATCCGGGTGGGTTTTGAATGTCTCCAGAGAAGGAGACTCCACAGCCCCCCAGGCAGCCTGTTCCAGTGCTCCTTCACCCTCAGTGTGACAAAGTTTCCTCTCACATTTAAGCGGAACCTCCTTTGTTCCAGCTTGCACCCATTGCCCCTTGTCTCATCATCGGCTGTCACCCAGAAGAGCCTGTCTCCGTCCTCCTGACACTCGCACTTTACTGATTTAGAAGCATTAATAAGGTCACCCCTCAGCCTCCTCCAAGCTAAGGAGACTCCCTCAGCCTCTCCTCATAAGGGAGATGCTCTGCTCCCTTAATCATCCTCATGACTGCTGGACTCTCTCACGCAGTTCCCTGTCCTTCTTGAACTGAGGGGCCCAGAACTGGACACAATACTCTGAGTCTTAGAGAGTTTTGTTGACCGACTTTGATGGGAACAGTTACAGCCACTCTCAAGGCCTCCAGACACATCCGTGTGCAGCCACAGAATCCCTGCCTCCCATGACAGTTGCCCTGTTTGCAGTTTTTCATTTTTTCATGCTGCGCAGTCACACCCATAAGCAGTCTCTTGCCGGGCTTCACCCCCAGCCCGTTTGCATGGAAGTTCATCCAGGTCTTCAGCATCAATGCTTGTAGCAAGGCTTCAGCCTGTTATTCCTGTCTGCTGCTTCATTTCTGCAGTGTGCAATAGGATGTGCCAGTTATCCTGAAGCACTGGTTTTATGTGGTGAATATTCTCAGCTATGAGCATAATAATTCTTTCATTAATTAAACATTCTGTAAGATTAGATGCAAGTTTTTGTTTGTTTTCTTTCTACAGAGAGAACTCTTACTGTATAGAGGCTGTCTCAGTTCAGAGAGCTGTGGAAATTGACAGCAAAAGGCCTCTTTCTTAGAATCAGATGTATTTTCTTTGTATTTTCTTTGTCTTTCCTTTATTTCCCTTTTTTAAAGAAATTGAGCTCCAAACCCTTTAGTCTTTGCAAATGCCTGCATAAAATTGGCATAACCAAGTTTGTATTTCCTGGGCAAATTCAAACCATTTGCAGGACTGTGGTGTCTTCTCCCTTTTCTTGGGAAACAGCAACTTTGCAGCACCTTATTCAAGGGTTAAAAGTCAATCTCCCTCCCATCTTTCATTCTCAGCAAAGGTGACTGGCTGTCAGTGGAGAGACACCTCAGGTGTCTCTTTCAGTTCCACACAGTGCCTCACATATGTAAATTCCTTTTTTTTTTTTTTGTCATGCAAAATCTTTTGTCTCTTGCAGGTTGGCTGACAGCATCAGAGGAAGGAGATTACAGTATTTTGGCTGCAGTGCTCAGCTTTGAGGCTTCGTTCTTTACAACTTTGAGGGATATGAGGCCACTTGGAAAAGTGCTTTGTGCTACAGGGATTATAGCTGTACTTCTAGCTTTCTTCTGGAAAGACACTTTTAACCCAGGTAGACTCACCACAGGGTTCAGTCCAAACTAGAATATAAAATGTGTAAGAGAAGATACTCTATTTCCAAACTGACTGGTGGTCTTTTTCTGCCCATGGTTTACCCGAGGTGGAGCCAGGTAGCATGTCAGCTACTGTCTGAGCAGGGTGGGTCAGACTGAGCTTCCTACTCTGTGACTGATAGCGAGCCTGGGGTTGCCAGGATGAAGGAAGGAACTGTCTGTTACATATCAGAAGAGCTAGGCTGAGCTGACTGCTATGTGCCAGGGCTCATGAGCTAGGTGAGCTTTCCTGTGACCCAGTCCAAAACAGGTCAAGGTGGCTCGCTACTTGACATGAAATGGCTGGTTATCTGATGACTAGCTTTTTGCTACAGGCACCTGGCAGAAGGGAAAAGTAGCTCATTCTTCAAAGGTTAGGTGATCCTTGATTATTTTCACTCTAGCATCAGAAGGCATTGTTAATCTCATGGCTTCTTTGGGATAGTCCTGCTTCATTACTAGTTATGGAAAAGCACTGAGTCTTTTGAGAACACACACACACCTTCCTACTTTAGAGCTCTGCCATTAGCCAGGGGCAGCTGCTCTGCTGCTTCCTTTACTTCTATACCTTGTTTTTCATTTTTCCCATGAATAAGAGAGCCTTTCTGGTGCCCGTGTTCTCCTGACTGGAGCCAGTGCTGGGATTGGAGAGCAGATGGCATACCATTATGCCAGATTTGGTGCTGAAATTCTTCTGACTGCTAGGAGGGAAGCTGTGCTGCAGAAGGTAAGAACTTCCTTGTTTGAGGGAAAACATGAGAGTTTTGGACTTTTGCACACACATGCATGCACACACAAACAAATGTTGGCATTTTCCTATGCAACTGTTTTACTCACCAATTGAATTACTGTAAGAAATTTTTAACACTTTCTGGAAAAAAAAAAAAAAAGGTGTATCAGCAGTACATTTTGAGCCTGATTCACTGTTAGTGTCCTCTACCATTCTATCTGTCACCTGGATGGGTTGCTCTGTCTGTGTTATCATACGCCCATGTCTGCTGCAATATACCTTTTTCTTACCAGAGGGCATACTGGGGAGAGGTAATCTAGAAGGAAAATGTTATTTAGAAGGGAGTTTGGCCTGTATGGGAACATGGATATATGTTGTCTAAACTACAGTTCCTATGAGATACTGTGTACCTCTTCGGTGTCCAAGCAATTCTGTTTGTATCTTTTTTGTTAAAGACTACAAACTTTTTGTAATAATGTTTGAACAGCTCAAATAGATGAGACTCCTTTATCTGTAGTATATAAAATGAGACAAAATTGAGAGGTCTCTTTCAGACTGTGGGGATAAGTGACTTGACTGGAAAGTTCTGCATTATGAAATGATGCAAAAGGAAGGTCAGGGACAGTGAGCATCGTACGCATTAGGACACTTCCTAAAGCCTGGCAGGCGTTATTTCAGCAGATAGCTAGATGTACCATTCGCACCTTCACATACTCATCACACTTCTGAAGATTGTCTTTTTGGATGATTCTTGATCCTTTTCCAAGATTTATAGAATCTGCATCTTGCTAAGAGTAACCTCTGTTTAAGTGGGTAGATGAAGTCTTGATGTAAAATGAGCCCTCTGCAGGCTGAATAGTGTTAGATTTAGAATTAAAGTGTGTGTCTTTGTCTAGAATTGACTGTTACTGACTGTAGTGTGGGGAGAAAAAAAGGTTCCTTACAGTGCCCTTCTGTTCTTTCCCCTCCCACCCCATTTTGTTTAATCTCTGGGGGAGTGTTGTTTTTCAAGGTGATGGAGAAATGCCTGACACTTGGAGCAAAGAAAGTCTTTTATGTTCCGGCCGATATGTCTTCCCCTTCAGAGCCTGAAAAGGTGGTTCAGTTTGCTGTCCAAAAACTGGGTAAGCAGAAGAAAAATGGCAGATACAGAAGAGTGGAAACAAACTTTGCTGGTTGTTTCAGTTTATACCATGTTCCTTTGTTCAGCAAAGGTGTAGATGACACCTTGCCCTGGTCACCCTTCAGGGATTATAGTTCTCAAGCCATATCTTGCTTTATACTGACATCCAGGTTTGAGGAAACTGATTAGAAATAAATCTGATAACAGTCCTCATCCCAGCTCCTCTGGCCTTGCCAATCTTGGCTTCTCTTTGATAACCCTGGAGTCAAGAGATGTGGCTTTCTGTAATTTACCTGAGTTCAGGAAGCTATGAAAGGTGAGGTGTCATAATTTTTCAGATGTTCACCGCTTGCCTGGTCAGAACCAAGCCAGAACCCAGGAGGGGTTCTGATTGTGATCTTAATTCTGTTCTGGCTTCATCTTTGGCATCTCTCAGGCTCTCAGATACACAGATAACTCACATTCCAGTAGGAGCTTCCTGCTTCAGCTTCCACATGTCCCTCACTGAGGGGAGTGTTTAGGAAGAGAGGATGTGGCATTTGTAAACACCAGTCTGGGAGTGGCTGACTTTTCAGTTGCTTTTCGTGAGGAGGACTCTTCAGGCAGCATATACAAATGTATTTTGCTAGAGGAGAAAAATATGCAAAAAATATTTGCTCAAAGTACTTTGCTGAAACCATGCCCTCGTAGCAACAGCTACAGTACCTCATACATTCACTATACATGAGCAGGTACCAGCTGCACACACCCAGCCCTGAGCAGACACAGCGTCTTGTGTTGAGAGAAACAGAAACTAGGAGGTCTGAAAGCAGTGACCTGTTCCTTTAGCAAAACTGAGTCCAAGACTTCATAGGAGGTTCTTATTTTAACCCATTCGCACATCTCATACTCGCAGAGATTCTCAGCCACTCGTTCTTTTGTACTAACAGGCAACAAGATGTGTATGACCAAGTACCCTCTCCAGGCTTACTACTGGTGATAAAAAGGACAAGGAATACCAGCTGTAGAGTCCTCATCATGTTTCCTGGGTTTTGGTTGGTGATCACATGCTGCTTTTTGATTGTCTTTCTTGCCCTGTAAGAGTGATTATAATCATTCACCTCTCCACCCCATCTTATTAGGTTAAGGCTGTTATTAGGCAACATTTTCTATTATACTCACTGTCCGTTTGTCCATTGCCTGAGTGTCTTAATTACTTCATTATTTTTTTGGTTTTCTTGCTGTGAGTGTCTTAAGAAATTGTCTTAAAGTGTGCTGCAATCTGGATGACCTGCCAATCCAGCAGCCATCAATATATTATCATTCTTAGGCCTTTTGCTATTCCTGCTGGTGTTTTCACACATACACATTCTCATACCAATCTTAATTTTTCTGTTATAATTCTCTGTACTTAAAACTTTAAAAATAGAGCGCACCACTGGAATTAAATTCCAAGTCTGCATTACCCTGAAATATCATTACAGAAAGCATCTGTTAAAGAAAAGGAGCTTTCATTCCAGTTCTACCCTTGAGAAGCAGGCACAGCTGCTGTCAGATGGACGTGTTTAATGTCTCCATGCTGAAGCATTTTCCAGCCTCCTCAGGGGCTGGTTCAGCCCTCCTGCTGGCATTTCTGAGTTCCTCAGTGACTGACTGGGGACAGCCACCCTATTTCACTGTTTTTTCTCCTGTACACAGGGGGACTGGATTACCTAGTGTTAAACCACATTGGCAATTCCCCTTTCCAGATGTGGAATGGAGATGTGGAATACACCCACTGGCTCATGCAGGTGAGGATTCCCAGCAGGAAGAGCTCATCTGGAACTGAGTGAGTCTAACCTCCTGGGACAACTTCAAGAGGCTTAAAGACAAATTCAAGCCTGTGGCAATAGTTTAGAACAAACCTTTTATTTCATTTGTGTGTCAAGTCAAATGGTTTGTCACTGGACTAGGTGTTTTGCTTAGTTATGCTGGTGTATATATGTGCAGAAGAATGTCTAGGAAAAACTTAAATTCTTCTCTCTTTCATTCTGTCCTTCTTATCTCCCATTAGCCCAGAACTGTTAGAAATTGCTATGGTAGGTATAGGCAGTTGCACAATGTGGAGTAAAGAATGACATACAGAGAAATCAGGGACAGATAATTATCTCTTGTCAAGACATTTGTATGTTATAGCCCAGGAATAACCTTCATTCTGACTCTTCTCCATTGCATTTTCTGGAATCTGAAAGGTTTACATATGCACTACCTAGCCCTGTTCTCACAGAGATGATTCTTTCCTCCTGATGTTTGAAATCGCAAATCCAAGCCATGCTCCATTTAATATGAACACTGAGTTAGCTTTCTGGCTCATGATGACCTTCTCTCCAAACAATCTTGCTCCTTCCATGACTACTTTATCATTTTAGGTGAATTTCTTTAGTTATGTGGCCCTTGCAACAGCAGCTCTTCCCACCCTGGAGAAGAATAAAGGCTCTCTGGTGGTCGTCTCTTCCCTCACAGGTTAGTGTTTGTAACTGGCACAAGTGCTGTTCTTGTCAAAACCATGTTTCCCAGCACACACTGTTTCTCTGTGTCCTTCAACAGATGTTCAAGCTGTGCTTTTTCTAATATTAAGCAGGATGGTGGCTGGCTGGGCTTCTTGCTTTCTGGAAGACCTTCTCTGTGTTGCATCTTTTTGTATTCCCTTGTAATTTTTCTCTTTACTTAGCATGCACCCTGATCTACTTGTTTGGCTCCAGTCCCTCACACCCAGGCCCATTTCCTGCTTTTCTGACACAGCATTAAAACCTTCCTGCTGCTCTAAGGCCTTCTGGCTTTGGCCAGCCTAAATAGCAGTCTGCCAAGTAGCTGTACCTACTCTACGGGATGGAAAGGCAGGAAAAAGCCTTCAGTGTGTCTGCTCAAGGGCACTGCATTCACCACAGCTGTGGTCCTTCCCTGCAACCTAATGTGCTTGGGTGACTGGGAACTACCATGGCTAGATATACCACCATGTGACCCAGTCCCTGTGGTTACATGAAATGGGGCGCCATCCATCCTACAACCACTTTCCTGGTCTTTTCCATTCTCTTCTTCTCCTTTCCAGGGAAAATACCCACTCCCTTCACCACTTCTTACTCTGCCACCAAGTTTGCTTTGGATGGATTCTTCAGCTCACTGCGCCATGAACTCATCATGCAGAAGAGAAACGTATCTGTCACACTGTGCATCCTGGGCCTGATTGATACTGATACGGCATTAGAGAAAACCAGGTATGTATTTGGAGGAGGGTATGAGTCTGCAAGGGAGTGTCTGCAGGAACACATCCCTTGAAAGCATGCAAAGAAGTGCAAACAACTGTATTTAAGATGGTGTGGGCATCTGTTTGGATGTGCTTGAAAACTAACAAGAAGAGTACATCTGCTTGGATACATCATATGGGTTGTGTGTGTCCACCTCTGCGTGGAACATGAACATGCGGAACCATGTGGTAGTCATTCTGCATAGTTAAAACCACAACAGGGACTAGCTTTGAGTGATTCTCTGATTCTTTCTTTCCAGGGGTAAAGTGTACCTAACTGCTTCTCCTGCTGCTGAAGCAGCACTCGCCATCATCCAAGCGGGTGCCACCAAGGTGCAGGAGGTTTTCTACCCGTGGTGGCTGCAGTACACATGCAGCCTCTGGGTTTTGTTCCCCTGCCACCGGAATCAGGTTTTACAGAGTTACTATAACTACAGCAGCCCTTGAAGGCTGCACAGTCTCAGTCTCCTCTCCTGTACTACACCCCTTCTAATTATAGTCACCCCTGTCCCACTAAGCATTCCAGTCAACCATCACTATCAGTTGGGAGCAAGACAGCAGTGGTGGAAAAGTAAGCTTAGCTCATTTCATAAGACTCTGCTTGAACTCCCTTTCATCCTTTGAGGTGCAAAAACCTGTGGCTTTTTGAGTCAGCCCCATTGTCCGGTCCCTGCTTCTGTGCATGCAAAACTCCAGCATGGTTGACACAGGTGAATCTGGAGCTGGGAGTGTTTTCTGAGTGATTTGGGCAAAGTGTGCGTTTGTTTTTTCATCCCCACTGTACCTATTCCCTCACTGGAAGGACTCAATCCTTTAGCCTGTTCTTCCTTCCCTCACCCCTCTGTCTTTTCCATCTGCTTTTTGTCTCCAAGATGCTCTTATTTAGCCCCTTTACTCACGATTGTCCCATCGAGGAGGAACAGCAGTGTCTGGAAGCCATGCAAGGCTGGTTACTAACCTGTGTTTTCAAAGGTGTTAAAACTAGAATAAAACTTAGGTTTATGGCTTTTTCCTCGTCTACTTCACTAATTCGGATACGGATTGTCTGTTACTAGTACACCAAATCTTGGGTGTTGAGAAAGCTGCTTTGGTTCGCTGCCGGTGGCAACAGAGGAGCGCTGGGAGCGGGGGGGCCCGGGAGCGGGGCCGAGCCCGGCGGATGCGGGGCCTGAACCCCCGCGGGGCGGGGGGCGGCGAGAGAACGGCGCTGAAGGGGGCGCCCGGAGCGGGGGCCGGGGGAGGCCCCGCCCCCTCGGAGCGGGCCGGGCGAGCGGCAGCGCCGGATTGGCTGAGCCGGAGGGATATGCAAATCGGCCGCGGCCGGGAGCTTCTCCGGTCGGCGGGAGGCCCGGAAGCCCCGCCCCCTGCCTCGATTGGCGGGCGGCTCCTCCAACCGCCAACCGCCACGGCCTCGGGGCCGACGGCCCGGAGCCGGGGGGGGCGCGGCTGGAGCGGCTCGCGGCAGGGAGAAGCTTCGGGAAGCGGCACCGGGCGCCGGGGCTGGCGGCGGCTGGGCGGAAACCGCGCGCGGGGCCGAGGGGAGCGGGAAACGGCGCCGGCCTGCGGGAGCAGCGGGCCCGGCCGCGGGGCGTGCGGTGCCGTGAGCGGTTGTCTTCGGGTGTAAGCACTGGGTGAGAGCGGGTGCAGCCAACACACGGAGTAAAACCCAAGTGACTTAGGAAGTAAAACTTTTATTAAATAAATTTAAGATTTTTTTAGACCAGAGCAAGGCATTGGACATTGATGAAGCTTGTATCACGCCTGTACCGGTGTACAGTCACATCAGTAACTGTGATGGAAGAAATTGTAAATGCTTGTTTTAAACGAGCTTGACCTAGCATTTCCAAAATCCCCCCTTTTTTTTCTTCCCATTTTGCATTTGTTGGTCGTTTTATTTTTTTTTGTTCAAAATTAGGTTAAACTTCATGAAATTAATTGTAGCAGAAATAAAGTACATTATACAAATCACATACATAATAGATGTTAAGTATAAAAATGGTATTTACAATAAGTAAACATGGACTATAGAAACACACAGACTCCCACAGCTTCATCCATCTCTCTTGTAAACTCTCAGCATTAGATACAGAGGGGTGGTTCAGGAGATCTGAAGGTACTTAAAGAACTATGCCACAGACATCTGAACAAAGGGAAACTGGAGGAGGATGAGAGGTGGCCGAGGTCCTCTCAAGTCCCTGGATCTCTCTTCAGGATCAATTGCATCAACCTTTCTCCACCAACCCTCTGTTCACATTTGAACACAGACATGCACATACATACACACAGAAATGTTCTTGACACCTTATCAAATTCTGGAATAATGAAGCTATTTATTCAGGAGGGTTTTTGTTTGTTTGTTTGTTTGTTTTTCTTCTTCCTTCTTTCCTCCTTATTTTAATAGAAACTAGAAAAGACTGAAGTCATTAAAGGGTTTTGCCTTGTCAGTATGGCCCGCACACGCTCAGGGATCTTTTTTAAGCTCTGAATTACGTTCTGTGCTTAAGTGTATGTATATATGTGTGTGTATATATATTCTGCATAATCCCTCCCTTGGAGGGAGTGGTGGGGGAAAAAAAAATGACAACCACCTTTCAACATACTATCCTTGTGTGTGCTTGCGAAAGCTTTGCAGAGGGTGCAAGAGGTGAGTCTTCTTGCCAAATTTAGATGGAGAATATGTCCTGCGTGGTCTGTGAATCAAAAATGCCTGCTAGCCAGCTTTAGGCCACTTCCAATACATGGAAGCAGCGTGTGGCCCCTGGGAGGTTTCTGTCACTATTTTGGAGATGGCATTTGCTCACACTTTCATCTTCTCCCTTGATCAAAAAAATGCCGTTACCACGAAGAGCTATGAAGTTGGGCCAGTACAATGTGTGGGGAGGCAGTACAGTTCTTGTAGGTAAAAGGGTTGATTTCCTGTGCTTTCAGCCTAATTGAGGAGTGCTCACGATAGGCTTTGGCACCAAATTCCAGGAGCTTGGTCTGCAGAAGCCCTTGGAAGGGTAAGACAGAAGCTCTTGAGATCCTTAACCAGGCTGGTGCTAAGGTTGGTGGGTGAGTGACTTGAGCTGAGCAGCTGGCTGTGCCCTAATCCTGGAGGTATGTGGTTCTCTTTCTCCTTGCTTCTTGTTAATGTTGAGTAGAGAGATGTGCTCTCTCTCTTGCTCTCTGTCCATCCAGGCATCCTCTCAAAATGTTCAGGTCTATTTGCAGTGCCTCCTGAGAAGACACTGCTGCAGAGGTAAACCCTTAGCTTCCAGCCCCTCTTGCAAGGAGTCAGTCTCTGAATGGAAAAATTTGGTCCTGTGAGTCACTTCAAAAACAAACAAAAAAGAGACTGTTTAATACTTATATTTATCTAGGAAAGGGGCAGGAGATGGGGTGGGTGGGAGGAACAAAGCTGAAGTTCCATATGCCACAGCAGTAACCTAGAGACACACCAGTGGGTTTTCTTGGTCCATGCACTCCAAGCACATCCCAAGAGGAAGAGCTTTGGGTTCCCAGGGGCTGCTCATTTTCTGGTCCCTTTTGCTATACACCACATTAGTAGCAAATATGTGAGTCTGTTGTGGCAAGAATCTTGCTGCTGGGCAGATACTGATTCTTCTCTTCAATTTCCATGATTTTAGGAAGGAGGGCAGAAGGAGGATGGGGTGAGTAAGTGGGGAGCAGAGGAAGGAAAGAGGTGGCATCAAAAGAGTTGATAAATTGACAGGCCTGTCTGTAAATCAACTTGAAGGCTAAATTCTTCCTATAGCTTTCCCTTCACCTGAATAGAAAGGGAGGAGGGAGGGAATTGGGAGATTAGGAGGACATCTGTGCAAACGTCAGGCTTTGAGTTGCTGCTGCTTAAATGTAGAGGAAGATGACCCCAATTAGATGGGATCAAGATCGGCCCCCTCTTGCTCCCAGTCTGTTGGCTCGCGGGAACTAGCTCTATGACAGCCAGCTCTCACATCAGGCAGCTCTTCTGTGGCCCTTCAGAGCATCACCTGGGGCTCATAAGCATCTCTTGATGATGTGGCTACCAGAGAAGGATTAACAGATCCCTCAAGGCTCAGCTGACATTGTAGCAACCATTGAGTGCAGCTGTGTAGCTATGGGGATAGGCACTGCAGACCACAATACAGGCTTAGCTGTGCTCCAGACTCTTTCCATAGGCGTTAATTTCACAGGAGATAAAAGAAATAGGAGCTAGCTGTCATGAGTACACTGAACTGTTTCCAGACATAGCCCTCTCTTGCCCCAATTCTAGTTTATTGTCCCCACCTGAGACAGGAGCACTTGGTTTCTCTGTGGTAACTGCTGTACTGGGACTGCCCTGAACAAAGCAGAAAATCATTGTGTGACTGCATCGGGAGGCAATTGTCTTCTGAACAGTTTTTCTGTGATCCTTACAAGGCATGGGATTGTCCCTTCTTACCCATGAAGCATTGTCTCCAGGTGAATTTCAGGGCACATGCAACAGGTGAGAATAGACCTATTGGATTTTAAGACCTTTTTAGGAAGATTAATAGTTTATGGGATGTGGCAGAAAGTAAACTGAAGCCTTACTTAGACTACAGGCAGGTAATCTGAACCCATCTGGCTAACAGGGACCTGACTGTACTGATAGGTCTTGCCTAGCCTCACCTGTGTCCTCTGCCCATGGGTCCCGGAGCCTCACTTCAGCTCAGGCCTGTGCCTTCAGTCCTTGTCTGATCTGTGTGTCACAGATGTGAGAGTTTCCACCTTAGCCATAGCTGTGAACATGCCCAGTCATGCAGCTGGACCTCAACCCCTGGATCGTCTTCCTATCTTGATGTTGGATTTGTCTAATACATTTGCTTGGCAATCACTGGACTACGTCTGACCCTCTTTACCAGTCCTGATAGCGATACTGGGCTGCAGATTAACTACCTAGCTTGGCCTTGGCTTTGCCTTATTGCCACAAACTTGCCTGATGATCTTGGCTCTTGTTGAACCCAGCTATTGTCTCCAGGCTTGTCCTGGTCACTTGCTCAAGTACTGTAGGCCTGGGCCCTGGCAGGAAAGGTCTCTACATTGCCATCTGCACCACTGTGTTCAGCTCCTGGCTCCCCACTCCTCAGGGAGAAGCCAGCTCTTGCTGCCCCCACCAGCAACGGCCAGCACCATGTAGGAACTGGACTGTGATGGTGCTAGATTTACCTGTGCTGCAGAAGCAACTCCTGATTGTTCACTCCTGTCAGTAGGGATGGTTAGCATCCTTGGGTCGTTTCAACTGGACCTTCAAACGTTTCATGCCAATCTGGAAGCCATTCATGGCCTGAATAGCAGTTTGTGCACTGGATGGGTTGTCAAAGCTTACAAAACCTGAAGGACAGGACACAGACACAGATAGTAGTAGCACTGCTGGTTCCATGCTCAATGCATGTATGTCCTAGTTATGTCATGCTCCCTTTGCCTCAGGGCAATAGCACTCACCAAAACATTTGCTCTGGTTGGTGGCACGATCCATGAACACCTTGGAGGAGATGATATTGCCAAAGGGTAGGAACATCTGCATCAATTCATTGTCTCCAAACTCCTGAGGGAGATGGTAGATGAAGAGATTGCAGCCTTCAGGACCTGCAGGCATGAGGGTAATGGAGAGAGACAAAGTACACAGACAGCCCCCAAAGGGACAGGGAAAAGGGCTCAACTCAGAGCACAGCACTGATAGAGAACCCCAGCACTGCCTCTTTTTGTCTTGACCTCCCCTTGCTTGTCTCAGTTACTGGATCAAGGGTACAGAGAGCTCTCCAAAACCATCTGGGAGGCAATATAGAGAGCTAAAGGTTCTGGAGAGCAGACTCACTTTCAGAGCTTGCCCAGTTCCCACCTGGAGTGCTGGAAATGACAACTCTCTGTGAGCATACGGGTGCTGTTGTACTGGAAGGGAATCAGCTGAGGTAACAGCTCCATGTTCATAGCTTCCCCAGGCTTGCTCAGCACTGCCCCAAGCAGTAGATAGCTCTATGTGAAAGCTGCAACTCCTCCCTGCCGACAGC